ATTGTGCTCGGCAATCAATGGTTTTTGGAGCACGGCACGCGGCATGACAAATTGCAAATCGCTTTGGCTTGGCCTCCATCTGTCTCCATCGCCATCCCACTGGGTCTCGCCCTCAAGAAGCGGATATGCTGGGATGTTGGGATGCTGGGAATCCGGAGCTCAGGTCTTCGATACATGGTAACGTCAAGTGTCATAGCAACCGCGCACAGTGGGACAAGGCCGTCGGAAAGGGGATGGAATCTCCATAGGTTGTTTTATGATCTACCAAAATATTTATGATTTAACTTAATATTTAAAATAGTTAGACATGAAAGTGTATTCTCTCAAAATTGAAGACTTAAAAAAAAAATAAAAAGGTACTTAACCTAAAAAAAAATTTATTTTAAAAAGGAAACTTACTAATCCAAAACCATTTAGTCTCTAATTACAAATAAAATAGCCATTCACTTAAATTTATAAAATTCATGGCTAATACTTTTTTAAGTGTAGTATATATTGATATTTCCTCTACAAAATTCATATCTTAATAAAAAAAATGTACATTTGGAAACCTATTTAAAGAAAAAATGCTTCTTTAAATCGCCGGAAAAATATATTCATTCTAAGAGGTATATAATACCATTCTTACCATATCCCATCAGAAATTTTTTAAGCTTTACTATTGTAAAACCTAAAAATAATATTTATTGAAAAAAGTTCAACTGTATGGTATGTTATTTCTCAGTTTTTTATAATGATATGTGTACCTATACTTGGAGATTTTAATATTTAGAGATGGCTGTGTTCCAATATTTTTAGCTCAGAATGTATATCCCATATAATTCCAACTAATGGCTAGAGAGGTACTAAAATTTTTTAGAACACCTGCAAGATCAGGTGAATACAGTTCTCATCCGATCGCGAACCACTGTGCTTCTGTGGGAGAATGAAAGACAGCGAGAAGAAAGCGGATTGCGTAATACCTGCGTCATGACATAAAGCTGGAGGCCTCGGCGATGAATGAGTGCGGAGAAAGGGAAAGGGAGGGCCAGGGGGAGGGGGGGAAGACAGCGGGGGAAGACAGGGACTGGACCCGCATAATTGCGCGGCTACACTTGAGGCCAAGTTAAGGGCTCTCTCCGTCTGAGAAACTAAAACTGAAACCGAAACCGAAACAGAAACGGAGGCCAAAATGTGGGCGAGGCCTAGGCGCAGCAGCTTCAAAAAAATACGAAATAAAAAACGACAGCAGCATCAGCTCGACGGCAAACACCTCATGACATCGGAATGCAATTTCACTTCTTTAAATATTTTCCCAATTGTTTTTTGCCTTTTGTGCGTGTCTCGGGCTCTGCCTCTCGGATCTGGGTCTTCGGAATGGATATGTTTATGGATGTGGATCGGTTGTATCGGGTTTAATATCATTCCGCCACGCTAACCAGTCAAGTGCACTGGCACTCACATTTGCTAATTAGTTCAATTAACGTTGTAATAGCATTTCCATTTTAACATGACCTTTATAAAATATCCATTTTGAAGACGGATTAAATTGTCCAGGAAATTGACGGCCAATAAGTTTGGTTAATGCGAAACCTGACAGCTTGACGATTGTTTTAACAATGCAATCAACTGAAATGCCCTTTCTCCATAAAATAGTTTTACAATGATTTATGGCAATGGGCCAAGGGAAAAATTGAATTTTATAATGGGCTTGGGAACTTTTTAGTTGTTAAGTGACTTTTTTACAACTTGGAAGTGCTTTAAAAAATATTTTAGTAAGCAAAATAATTACACGTTGTTGAAATAGACTTTAGGCCCCAAAAAGGTTTACCCCTAGAAAAGTCAAAAGTCAAATGTCTTAAAATATAATAAAAAATCCAATCTTGAATAAGATACCTTTTTATTACGCAATCCGAATATATTAATTCATTAGTTTGATTAATTAAGTCAAAAGAAAGTTACATTTAATTTATTAATATTATGGCATTCAGTGCTAATTAATGGGCTTTGGGATTGACCTAATTTAAAATGGTTTTCAAATTAATTGCAAATCAAAAAGGGAGATGGATATTCGGTTTTTGAGGCCTTTAATGCACTGCCAGCTTGTCTTCACTTTTGGGACCCTTATCACCATCGAGCTGGAGGGCTCTTTCCGATGAACCCATTTAGAGCTCGAAACGAAAGTAGCCATCAACGCAAGACTCGAGGAAGTAAAAGCGCAAATAATTGCGACCGACCAAAAACAAAAAAATATATATACATATACCCACACTCGCGGGCACCAATAGATATATATATATATAGATATATAAGTATGTATGTAGGGGGATATTTTAAATGTGTAATGACAAAACAACAGCGGCCAACAGATGCGGCGGAAAAATATTGCCACTTAGTTGAATGTTGCTGGTTGCAGTTGCTGCTGCATGTTGTTGCTGCTGCATGTTGCTTGTTGCCAGTTGTTGTTGCTGCTGCCGCTGCAACTGGTCACATGCTGGCCATGCGGCACCCGCAAGATGCAACAGCAGGAAGTCCAAACTTGGCAGCAGCAGCAACTGTGAAGTAACCTGGCCAAGAGGGAAGAGGGTCACCAGTGGCCAAATGGATGTCGTCTGGCGACTGGGTTGTGCGAATTTTCGAATTTCTTCCATACTCTAAAATAAGGCATTAAAACATTTACGCTTCATTCATTTTAATCCTTATAAAACTGAAAAAGTAAAAAAGTCGGGGTCACGAAAGTTATTTTTTTTAGGTTTTTAAGGAAAACTTGCTAAAAATCTTTAATATCTGTAATACAAGATATATGTTCTTAATTGCTTCTGTTAGGCTTACCATTACGTTTTTAAGCTTCTCTTGTTAAAAAAAAATCGGGGTCACCAAAGTCCATTTTCAGAATTTTTGTATAGGAAAACTTTCTGAAAATCTGTCATTTCTGCAATACAAGATATATGATTTTATAAAGGCATACTTCAACTGATTTACTCTTTCATTCATTGGGTTTCATTCAAATAAAATGTTTTGTGGTCACCAATATTTTTCCGTTAAGAGAAAAATCAAAGATTGTATGGTATTTTGCCTTTCCTTTGATAGAGTATCTCTGTTTTAAGTCCCAAAAATGCAGTCTTCCTTTCTGGTTTTCAACTGCAGTCCGTCACTAAGGGAGAAGGAGTGGATTCCCAGTTTCATTCCCCGATTCGAGAAAGCCAGCGCGTTTCTTTCCCGTTTTCTGGGTTTTGTTTTGGCCAGAGAGTCTTGAGATAACCATGACGATCATGGCGATGATGACGATGATGATGGTGCTGGGATTGGGATGCAGATGAGGATGTCGACGATGATGATGATGGCTTTGGCTGACGGCGAGCCAAAATACAAATTCAGAGAAAAGAGTGGCCCAAGAAATGCAAATGAAAGCGAAATCGAGTCACGCGAAGGCCGCGCATCTCCATCTACAACTCCATTCCCCCAGAGACCCCGAAAGACCCCCTCTGGAAACCAAGATGAAAACTTGATCTCTCGGGCGGCTGCAACTTCTTCAACAAGTTGAGAGGCGAAGCACTTTTATGACTCAACTTTGTGGAAAAGACGGGGCATAAAAAAAGACGAAGAAAAGGGAAAAAGAGTTCCACTATCGGACATTGTGGCAAGTGTGTTGACATTGTTCTACTGCCGGTTGGCCCATTAAAGCAACTCATGAATATCCAGAGCTTGGCAACCTAGAAAAGCTGCTTCGACTTTCGGCGATGACGACGAGACAACTATTAAGTAATACGAAATGGAAATGGAAATTATGTAAATACCACATGCATATTAAACGGAATAGAAATGGAATCTGTATTGATGTTGATGTGGTCATCAAATAAATTTACCATTGGCTTTAAAATAAAATAAATAAAATGGTAGTGGCTTGGAAAATATACCATATTAAATTCATTTTATTGGGCTGATAGTTATAAAACTTTATTAAGTATTTATGAAAGTAAGAGATAAAGATCAGTAATAAAATTCAAATACCTTTAGTATGTTTTAAATGCTAAAGGGTCTTAAGTTAATCAGCTTTTCGATAGTGTTGGAAGAACATTAAAATGTAATATGTAAATTAGTAAGTAAGTTAAATATATTAAAGATCTATCAAACATTTTCCTGATTCAAAAGAAAGATTTTGATCTTATTAAGTATTAATGAAAGTAAGAGATAAAAATCAATTAAATATACCTTTAGTATGTTTTAAATGTTAAAGGGTCTTAAGTTAATCAGCATTTTAATAGTGATGGAAAGACATTAAAATGTAATATGTAAATTAATAAGTAAGTAAAATATTTTAAAGATCTATCAAAAATTTTCCATACTCAAAAGAAAGATTATGATATTGTGATATTTTTTGAAAGGGAAATACTCGTAACTATCAGTTCCAATTCATTTGCAACTCATGGTGAATCTCCCCAGTTTCCTGGGTGGCACTTGGCGATCATGAGGAAGCATTCGCTCGGAAACCCATTAAGTTTGCCATGTTTACATTGTCGAGGGCCAGAGACTGAACCACTCGAGAATCGCTTTTTGAGCGCTGTTCAAGGCTCTGAACTTTGACAAGGATCTTCAACTTCGACTCCGAATCCGGCAAAAATGACACTTGGCACCGAGAGGTGATGATGATAATGATGATGATGAGTACCACTGCCCCATGTGGCAAGGTTGCTCTGCTCGCAGAGCTTCTTCGATGCCAAGGTATCGATGTGAAAATGTTGCAAAACTGGTCCCCAGAGAGGGAAAAATCTCTCGACTTCGGATGAGGCTGTCCCTTCAACTCGGCACCTTGCTCATTTGGGCTTTGGCTCTACGTCTGTGGGTCGGGTTTACGAAATTTCTTCACTTTCGGTTTCGATTCGGATTCCGATTCCGATTCGGATTCGGATTCGTTTTCGGTTTCTTCAGCGGCTGCGCGGCGGCTGAGGCAGCGACGCCGGCGTTGGCCCGGCTATTACCTATATGAGCTGCCGTTATCATCTCAGCGGCAGCATTTTCAACTCGCGACTGACAAGCAGCGGTCGCCGTCGCCGATCCGTTGTCGAGAGATCCCAGATCTCCAAAAACCGAAAACCGCATCTCGAGATCTAAGATCCAAGATCCCAAACGATCCGTACCGTTCCGAACCGATCCCGCGATCCGTTCCGTGAGTGCCGCGTTTTGTTTATTATTTTTTTTCAATTTTTTTAAAAGTCCCGCATCCTTTTGAGTGCAGTGTGCCGCTTAACAAAAATCGCATCGAATCATCTGAATTTTTTTCGAGTGCCCTGTGCCGAGGATAACCCACACCAGCAGCTGGCATGGTAAAGAATCGTTTCCCTAATTGGACTCGAGTGCAAAGGATTACGGAAGAAACTCAAACACAAGCCCAATTAGGAGAAAAGTCCAAGTGACTCGGGGGAAATGCCAGCGAAAAAGTTAACCGCCCCCTTTGGGAAAGATAGATTTCCCAAAAACTTTGGAAAAATTCCAATACACAGAAAGAATTAAAAAAAAAGGGAGAAATTACTTTAAAGGCATCACATTTAAAAAAGTGGGTTTTGCAGCCCCTTCTTAATAGGAAAAACTATAAACAAATAGGAAATTTTACCATAAAATGGAGTCTTATAAAATCAGGACCAACATAGGAATCCTGGGGAAAGAATGATAGAGGGATACCAGTTCCAAAAGTTAGTTTTGGATTTTTATAGAAATTCCTAACAATGGAAAAAAAATATTTATATTTAAAGAGTTGACTCTAAAATAATTGACTTATAAAATCAGGGTGAATATTTTATTTTCCCCGTGCAATGGTATTATTTTTGGGTGGGCACGCCTGCGCCTTGCCCTTTGACCTTGCCACACGACCTCTGCTAATTGATGAGGGTTGCCCGGACTCTAAACGAAAATTGATGCAGGACCCGGATTTCATGGCAAATCCTGGCCCAGATTATTCATTTGCTGCCGTAGTCCGGTGGCCAGGGGTCAGGGGTCAGGGGCCACGGGCTAGCAGCTCCTGTCTCCAGACATAATTTATTCATTATCGAAATTGATTCATAAATAATTTCGCATTCACATTTGCCCGTTTTTGCGGGGCGCCGGTGGGGTAAATTTAATTAACGTAGATTACGATTCCCGACTTTTGGGCCAGAACAGGCAGCTGTGGCCAAAAACTTGGGGCCCGAATTCCCCCGGCAACCCTTTTCGTAGGCACCCCCTCCCCCCCAAAACCCGGAATCGCTTCCTGGCTGAACTTTTGCTGTTTTCATCTTCGAACTAAATTTACGTCTTCTCAGCGAGAGTGAAAGTTTTGCCGGCCCGTCTGTTTGTTTATTTGTTTTTCTGTTTTATTTTTATTTAGTTTTTTTTTTTTCGTTGCCGTTGCCTGGTTTTCATTTGTTTGCTGTCTGCCGTTTGTTGTCAATTGTTTAGCATCAATAACAAATATTTGTGGCCTATGCTAATGAACAGAAATCGAACGCCGGGCTAAAGAAAGCGGTGACTGAAGTGGTGACCGCCCCAGTGAACAGTGACCAGTGACAGGTGATAAATTTAGGGCCCCAAATAGGCGGGATCTAAGTAATGGGTTGGGTAATTGCGAATAACCCAGTTTAACTTGGGGAAATTGGGTTAATTTGGTAAGGGTCTGAGTTTATTTTGGATATAAGGGAATTCTACGATTTTATTTTATTCTTTTGATTATATTTTTTTTATTAAACAGTGACTAGTAAGATCTTAATAAAGGGAACACGATTGTATTCTATCTTAAATATCATAATACATATTATAATGGGTATACGATTTTATTCTATCTTAAATATCATAATAAATATTATATATCATGCTGTATTTGCTGGATAAAATCATCATAGAGATATATTTCTTTGAGCTTAGCTGTACGAATGCGATCAACTGGCTTAGTGACTCGTACACCCGGCATAATACACCCATCCCAAAACAGATCCACAATGGAATGGAGTTGCAAGTGCTGGCCACATGCGGGTCACTTCACACGGCTCACAGACAATGGGCACAGAAAGCCCCCTCATCTCTCTAAAAAAAACTTAAAAAAAAGAAGACATCACCCCCGCCCAAGCCCACACCAGCAGCCCCTTTAATTGTTTGCCATTTCTTTTATAATGTATTTTCATTATGCGGCGCATAATTTCACTGCCAACATTTGTGACACCTACTCATCCCCACGAAACGAACCTCACAGATACGCAGATACATGGCCGTATGGAGATACACCCGGAGCCAAGTGAAAGTTACCATTTCGGCGTTTTTTCTGTATCTTCTTCTCCGCTTCGACCGCTTATGACATTTTAACGCCGCCGCTGGCCAAAAAAAAAAAACACACAAAAAAAAGCAGAGAAGAAGTAACAACATATTTTGTGGCTTATTGTGATACTCGTATTCAATGCGCATCGCTGACCATTGAGGTGCACTTTTCCATTTCCAAAGATTGCTGATTGCCCCGCATTATGCAATCTGGAAAGAGACGAGGCGATCGTAGTAAATGGCATAATAACTTGGCTATTACGCTGGGCTTGCAGATGATGGTTGGGTTCTATTAAATTCGGATTTATTATCTCGGGAAGTTGTGTAAGATATTTTAGGAGATTTTTAGGATCAATTGACATTATATAGAACATTTTTGAATAGAAGATCATTTAGATCTTATATAGAAAATACCTTCTAGCCATTAAAAATCATTTTCCTAGTTATACAACTTCCTGGCTTTTTTATAACTCACCCATTAAAAGTCCCGCATAATGGAGCTGTTTTCTTCAAAAACCGTGATTCATTGAGTAAAACATTTACTCATCTTTGATACCTTCACCTCTTGCATAACTCCAATCACTTTCTTATATAAGGGCATTCCAGCCTCGTCACCTTTTGCGGTCGATCCGCGTGCTTTTTGCCATTTTTATTGGCATTACCGGCTAAATCGCTTGTTGTGCGTGGAATTTTGAAAGAAGCGCCGTTTAGATTTGCTTTCTGGCCCGTTTTAAGTGGCTTATTTTTGCCATTGTTGCCGCAGCATTTGTTGTAAAACATAAAACCAATTAAATGCCCCCCCTTTCTTGCCCCCATCCATCTTGGCCAATGGTTATTTTCGGTGCTTTTGTTTTGGCTTTGTGCTTTTTTTATTTGGCTGACACGAAGTCGCCACTCGCCTGCTGAATTATTGATGATCATGATGAGCGGCCACATCCATGATAATGACAATGGTAATAACGATGATGGCCAGTCCGGCCGGGTTATGTTTTAATTAGAGCGTAATACGCCAGCGTTTTCTGGGCAACCGCAATGCCAATTACACCACACAACAAACTTGGCCTAAATGGTTCAATTAACGCCGCTCGTTGGCCAAATAATTGATGGTACCTGAAGATTTAGCAATGTATTTGGTTAAACTAAAGTTAAATCATTTTTTAGGTCACCACGAAAGTGCACTATTGTAATTTGTGTAGTACAAATTATACAATTATTATTAAGAGTTTGAAATAGCATTTAGGGTCATTCCAAAATAAGCCATTAATATATGAAGTAATACATGTTACCAAAAATACGTCTAGATTTCGAAGATGTTGGCTTAAAATTCCCAACTAAGTAATTAACTAAATAATTGGCCAGGAAATTTTAAAATATTTGTAAAAGATCTTTGAGTGGTCTACCTGAATTTTATTATATTAATATAATTCAATGAAAATATTTTTTTAATTATATTTCTTAATTTCTAACTTCACCTTGTTGCACAGTGTTGACAGTCGAGTAAATGGAGGCGGGTCGTAGGTTTGCAAATTAGCGCAGATTATGGTTACATATTTGGGCTGGGGTTTGGGTGACCCACGCACACACGGAAAACGACACCTGGCTGGGGGGCGAATGGCGAATGAACCCAGGACCTGTGACCTGCGACCCCTGACAAGCCTTGACAAGTTGCCATCGTCCAAAAAGGTCACCGAGACAGCTGACAAATGAGACGCGGCCAAAAGGGGTTAAGGGGGTGAGGTTGGGTCGAGGGGCCAGGGGGTTAAGGCCGGAGATGGATGGCAACTAGAGACACTTTGGGCGGATGCCACTCAATAAACATTACGATGTCGGTTAGCCGACTAACCCCTCATATTACAACTCTTTCTGCCGCAATCATTTGTTATATTTCAAAAAAATGGTAAACATAACTTCAGACAGCTGAGGCTTAAACACTCTACTGGAAATTATTATAAATATCAAGATTTTAAAAGGTTTAGAAAACAGTTTAGGATTATAAAAACCATTCTATATGAGGCCTAAATTAAAGTGCTTGTAGTTAAAGTCCACCGTTCTCATTTGTACAGTATAAAGGCATTGCTTATTATAATACCTTAAGAGAGATAATTCAAATATTATTTAATTTTTTAAGTAAAAACCAAAGAGTATTTGCTTGGTGTTATAAATGTCTCCCCTTTTAACCACATTTTTTATATGCTTTTGAGCGATTAACAATATTTTATGTCAGAGCTATGGACTTCATTTTTTGAGTAATGCCCCCTGGATGTTTGGTTTCCCTGGAGGAGATTAACTTCCGGTCCAATCGCTTGGGGCCAGCTATTTTCCTATTTCCTACTCCAGATGCCATCTTGACAAATGACTGACCCACATTATCCAATCCATTCCAGATGCTCCGTTTGACTCTGCTGGTCGCCTGCTGCCTCTGCGCCGCCCAGGCGGTGTTGCACGGCAAGGATGTGAAGCGCCGCGAGGCGGGATTCGACACATACGGTCCGCCGCCACGCCCTGCCCCCCAGTACGGACCCCCGCCCCCGCAGCAGCACGTGCCCCACCGGGAGTACGGTGTGCCCCAGCAGATTCCCTTCCGGGAGTACGGACCTCCGGCCCTGAAATACGGTCCACCCAAGCTTAACTTCCTGGGAGGAGGAGGCGGTGGTGGCGGCGGCGGAGGTAGTTCCCTGCATGAGCAGATCAAGACCCACTTTGGGGTGCCCAAACCCTTCTACGGACCCCCGCACATTCAGCACAAGCCTGCCCAGCAGTACGGACCACCACCCCCGAAACCAGCACCCCAGTATGGTCCACCTCCACAGCCAGCGCCCCAGTATGGTCCACCCCCGAAACCGGCACCCCAGTATGGTCCACCACCACCGCAGTACGGTCCACCCCCACCACTGAAGATTCAGCACCGCCCGGCTCCTCAGTACGGACCACCCAAGCCTCAGTATGGTCCACCACCTCCGCCGCAGCTGCTGCCCTCGCCACATGCCGCTCCCCTCTTCAAGCCCGCCCATCAGCCGGCAACCTCCTACGGACCACCTGCCTCTGGTCCACTGAACCTGCCGCCCAAGCAGATCTTCGATGCCCCACCCCCTAACTATGGACCACCACCTCTACCCGTGGCCCTGCCCGGAAATGGACCCGCCACCACGATCATCCTGACCAACGGTGGAGGACACTCGGGACCAAGTGGACCCAGTGGACCCAGTGGCCCGGGACCAGTGAAGCAGGTACAGATCCAGATCGACTCCTCGGGACATACGCACAGTGTGAGTGGCTCCCAGGCGCCCTTCCACACGGCATGCGATGGCTGGAAACCGATCCCGGCTCCCATTGGAGCCTACGTCGAGCAGAATCACATCGAGACTCAGGGTGGCTACAGCCAGGTGAACCAGGGACATGGTGGATCCTTTGGAACCCAGTACAGTGGTGGTGCAGGAGTGGGAGGCTCTGGAAGCGGAGGCGGTAGCATCATCGACGGACTCTCGGATGAGCAACTGGTGGCCGTGGCCCTTCAAGGAGGCGGCGATGGAGCCCATCTGATCACCGGACCTGGAGGCAACTCCATCGAAGCGGAAGCTCTGCAGGTTAGTTGGTGCCCAACTCCCGTTTAACCTTTTCTAATCTTATTATCTTTCTAAGGCCGCCATTGGCTCCCTGGATGACTCGTACTCCAAGCCACCCTCGGATTCGTTTGCCCCCGGCTCAGTGCATGCCCAGAAGTACCAGACCATTGGACACTCGGGATCTTCTAATGGAAACTATGGACCTCCTCCACCTCCACCAAGTGGAAACTACGGACCTCCTCCACCACCTCCCAGTGGCAACTATGGACCTCCGCCCAGCGGCAACTACGGACCTCCTCCTCCGCCTCCTCAGGGCAACTATGGACCACCACCTCCGCAGTTTGCCGCCCTCACCAGCAGCAGCAGCAACAGCCACTCTCATTCCCACTCCCAGTCCAATGTGAACATCCAGTATGGTCCTCCTCCATCCGGAAATCCTCAGCCCTTCCCGCAGCATGGAGCCGGTCAGCCCAACAAGCCGGTGGCCTATCGCCCACCTGTGCCCGCCGGTCTGCTGGAATCCATTGGAGCCACTGTGCAGCATTTGGATCAATTTGGGGTGAAGCCTCAGCAGCAGCCAGCCACCTACATTCCCCCTGCGGCCAATGAGATTCCCCTGGCCGGATCTGGTCCTCCACCACTGCCAGCTCCGCAGGCTCTGTACCAGCCACCACCTCCTCCTCCGCCTCAGTCTGCCCCCCAGGTGATCCTGCAGCAGCAGCTGCCTGCCCCGCAACCAGGACCCTCCTTCATTCACCAGAACAAGTTCGGACCACCGGGACCACCGCCACCACCTGAGCCCCAGTACCTGCCACCTCCTCCGCCACCAGTGGCCAATGTGCGTCCACTGGGACCTCCGCCACCACCTTCCCAGCAGTACCTGCCCTCCGCACCATCACCACCACTTTTCTACCAGCAGCAACAGCATCAGCAGCACCACCATCACTCGGAGAACAGCTACAGTGAATCGCAGTTCCACTCCCAGGGATTGCCCCTACCACAGCAGGCTCCTCGCTTCAATCTGCAGCAGGGTCAGCAGTTCCAGCAGGGTCAGCAGTTCCAGCAGGGTCAGCAGTTCCAGCAGGGTCAGCAGTTCCAGCAGCAGCAGCCCATCATCATCCACGACTGCGGACATGGACCCAATCTGGTGAGCAGCAATGGCTACACGGTGCAGCAGCAGCAGCAGCAACAGCAACAGCAGCAGGTGCAACACTTTGGCAGCGTGTCCGCCGCCTCCGCCGGAGCCTACAACGCCATCTCGCAGAGCATCCCAGTGGCCGAGCAGCACACCCAGCAGCTGGTCTCTGGACCCGGCGACAGCTATGGTCCTCCGCCCTCTGGCAACGACCTGGATTACGATCACACCGGCTATGCCTCGCAAAAGAATTCGGTGGCTGCCCTGCCCGATGGCACTGATCCCCACCAGCTGCCCGGTTTGGATGGCCTCGATGTGCTTTCCGCCCAGAAATCGCAGAGCATCCAGCTGAATGGACAACAGCCCACGCAGAACTTCCAGGTGCAGTTCGGGGGATCCCTGAACAATGCCCCAGGAGTCTCCACCGGTGATGCCAACCACGAGGAGATCCTCTCCCAGGGTCTGCTGCAGTCCATCCTCACGGCCATCGAGCAGCCGGGTGGTCAGCAGAATGTGCCCCAGAACCACAAGGCCCAGAGTCGTTCCGATGAGCATGATCAGGAGCAGGATCAGGCCCATGACGAGGAGAATGAGGAGCATGAGCATGAGCAGGCCAGCAGCTCCTCCAATCGCGTGGAGGTGCGTGTGCTGCCCGAGAATCCCGACAACGAGGAGGAGACCCCAGCCGAGGTCAAGGAGATCGAGCCCATCGTGGTCAACGACGAGGAGGCCAAGCATTAGTCAGTCACTAGTTAGCATCGAACTCATCAGCGCCGCTTGAACCTATTTATTGCTGCCTCATCATCATCAACTAAGAGCTAACCCCAGTCTGTCCCCCCAGTTGCCATAAAGTGAAAGTCCAGGGGGCAGGAGGGGATCGGATTGGATCCACCACAGATTTTTTTATTAAAAAAAAAACAAAAAACCATATAAGTAAACACAAAGAGAACAAAGAAGCTAAGCATGCGGATTCGACGTTGCCCCGCCGCATGAAAAGTGCCTTTTCATGCTCGCAGCTCGTGTATAAAAATTATTTAAAATAAATAATTAATTTATTATAGCATTGTATTGTATTTTATGCTTTAAACAATAAATAAATATGTATGTATACAGAAAAAAAAGCGAAGACACTCGAGGAGGAAAGCTGCCTCGAAGTGCAAGTCATCCGAGATCTCAGGTTGGAGAGCCCCAGTCAATGGCATATGCAAAAATGGTCAAGGTGAATGAACTGTGAACTGGGTATTCAGAGGGGGGCGGACGCAGGGGGCGTGGCTGTCTTCAGCCGACAAAGAGCTTCTCATAGAGCACTTACAAATATCAGGGTAAAAAAACTATTCAATCACAGTGACTTGCACATTATTTTGACAGATTAACTCACAGCACTACAACATTTTTATAAAACCACTCCAGGTACTTGAGTTATATTCCATAACTTGAAAACCGGACAAGTAAGTGGTATAAAAAATGTATCTAATCCAAACATGGACTAACTTTTTTCATAATTCCTCCTTTAATAAGGTCACAAATTCTTTGCCTCCCAATTTTTCATTTTTCTCTTATCACAGGAAGGTTAATTAATAAATAATTCTTCAACAGAGTTTCAAATGATTCAAGGGTTCAAGTTTTCTCACGCTCAATTCCGATTCCTTTGCCAATTTCAATTCAATTCCATGGCATCCGCATCCGCATCCGTATCCGCCTCCACATCCCCATCCGCAGAGCAATGGACTTGCCGACTTGGGCCTTCCAAAGAGCAACAAGAAAACAATAAAAGACATAAAATTAATTAAATTAGCCATAAACAAAGCGAAAGGTGATTAATTAACTAGAAATTTATACCGTTATATAACCGAGGGAAAAAGGCATGAAAGACGTGCCCGCTTTCTAGGGCTGGGTTCCGCCCCCAAAAGGGGTGCCCCAAATGGGTGGTTCGTTGGGTGGTTAGGTGCTGAAGCTCTCGCCGCTTTATTTGCCCATTCATTAATATTTGGTTGCTTCAGTTCGGGCCAGAACCTGGACTCGCCTTGCTACTGATTTCGTTTCATTCACCTGCACTGACAGAAAAGTGTACTAGGAATGGTTCAAGAAATGGCTTGAATTAGACAAAGTCACCAAAGAAGTATTATTAAAATGTAAAGTCAGTAAAGAGCATTCATTTAGAAGGTCTTTAAAGTGAAAACTGTATGACAAGCTTCATTCACATTACCAAACCTCAACTTCAATATTAACTAGTATTCTTCTCAGTGCATGTTCTGACTTCTACTTCATTTTTGCCCCATTTGCGTCCACGTAGCCGCTACCTTTGTTTGCCAAGGCGTCGAAGGGAATGGCGGACGGAAGGCTCGTCGGACGGACGGACTGATGGACGGACAAGCGGACAAACGGACAAACGGACGGACAGACCGACGGACGGAGGCCAATGGGTGGTTCATGGACGGAGTGGGCGGGAAAAAAGGGGCCGCTGGCAGCGCTTTCATTCAGTTTGCGCACTTTTAATTAATGTTATTAAAAAGTCAAAATGAGCAGCACCTAAAATGGCTGTGAGGGGAGTGGATGGTCCTATCTTTCGGAGAAAGTCCAGGGCAATTGCATGCAATTCTGGGAGGGAAAGTATTAAGACTTGGACTTACAACGGTTTTAATTATCCATCAGTCTAAAGATTAGAATATAGAACATAGGTACAAGTACATAAGTCTAACTCAAACATCTTTCATAGAACTCTCATAAGTAGATCCCAGGGCTGGCCAGACTCTTCTGTACCAGACCCACAAATTAATCCTCGTAAACTTAACCATCCGAATGTCAATCGCCCGAATAATTCTTATTAAACCAGCGGCCAGGCTCCGCCGAGATACTTTCAATGGAAATTCAGAGGGACCCACAGTGGACAAGTTGTAGCACGTATTTTCGCTGTGGCTTCGCTCGATTCTCACTTATTTCCATTAACTTTCGCAATTTGACTTTCGCCATGGCCATTGCCATTGCCGTCGCCATCGCCATCGCCATTCGTTGAAGCCAATGCCTGATCGGCTGCCAATTGTGTAAATTTGTCATTTCAGTCAGCGAAAAACGCGAAAAATGTAATTTGCAGCAACAATTGGGGGAAAGTGGTATTTTGATTAATCGTCGATTTGCATGCGAATGCGGAAATCCAACAAAAATCCAGCCAAGAAAATCAATCCATATAAAAGAGAGCAAATTGAAGAGTTATTCTACGTGTAAGCGCTTTTTGTATGCCCTGAAAATGTATAAAAAATTTGAATCGCTTGTTAAATGTGGTAAAAAAGTATATTAAAGTTTCATTTTAACATTTACTATATGATTGCGAATATTTCACTCGGTATATTGTTTTAAGAAATAATTGGCTTGAATAATTATAATTATTATATAAGTTTTTCAAGTGTATTTTAATTCTTGCTCAAATAATTGACATTAAATGTGCTCCAACCACTAATGGGTTTCTGTTTTGTTTTTTAGATGCTCACCTGTTTTTATGACCCGGTCTACTGTCACATTACCCCTTGGCTTAAGAGTATAACAACAACTTCCGGCAACATAAAACTATGGAGGGCTGGTCGAAACCAGACCCAGCGAGTGGTAAAATAAAAATAAAAAGAACAACAGCAGGCATAAAAGGAAAGAGTGCTGAAAATGGTGTTGATTTTTCAGCATTTTATTGTGGCGTTTTTTGGCCCCCTCTCTCTCTGGATTCTTATTTACCATGCGGTGTTTTTAAAGCGGCTGCCGTCCTGTTTACACTGCGTATACGTAATACGCATTACGTATACGCAGCACGAATACGAACGGTAGCTGGAAAATGCGGGTATCGGGCATCAGAATGCAATGTGTTGTTGGTCCTGCACTTAGGTATTTACCCAGTGCCAATGCATTGGCCTTTTTTACGGGTATCTACAGGCCTTGGATCGGTTTCTTGGCCATTTTTTTTTTGGCGGGCCAAAGCTATCGGGCAGATGGTCCGCCTACTTTGGCGAATGATGGTGTTTGTTTGCTCTGGTCACGCAGAAAACGGGGCAACCCTAATTACAGTTAATTGGTGCCTGCTGTGGGGGGCTGGTGGTTTTCCACTGGGCGGCGGGCAGGACTTTCCCCGTCTGATGGGCCAAAGCTTATACGCACTGCGCGACAGGGCAAAAATACACAATTTTCCACTTTGTACTAATCAAGAACTCATTATCCTTCATTATGCTTTTCAAGTTGCCGTGTTGGCGGCGGCCTTCCGCCCCCACCCCCTCCTCTCCATTTTTCAACCCCATCCTAATGTCGCCGGCGCAGCTGCAACTGCAACGCGGAGACGTGAGGCTTGTAGCCACACAGGAAAAATTAATCAGCAAGATCGGATAAATTATTTATTTCGCCTTCTATTTATAAAAACTCAATGCATTGTAATTCAAATTGAGTTGCAACAGTAAATAAGTGGTCTGTAAATTTCTAGGAGCCTTAAATATTACTAAAAAAATGTTTAATGTCAGTCTTTCAGGTGTACTCCTTGATCTGAATGTCAGTTTTTCTCAACAAAAATTCTATGTTTTGGTCGCCATAGTGTCAAATAAGGTCAGAATAAAGAATGTCATACATTGCTAAATTTTAAACCTTAAGAATTGTTTTTCTGTCCCTGAATTCCGTTTTTTGGCTGCCAAAACAAAAGTATTTGTCAGAATGAGGAATGTCATACCTCGCTGAGCTCGTTGCTTAATTTCCAATCGATTGGCATTCTAACCTGAAAATTTTTCATTTTTTTGCCATTTTTCGAAAAAAAGCGATGCAACCCCTACAAAAAATGAAAAAATTGGTCAAAAAATAAATTTTCCTAAAAATGATAAGGATCGTTAGCATTTTAAGCAAGCTGCTCAAAACAGTCGGTCTTTTAGCTGTACGCTTTAATTTGGCTGAGCTACGATGGAAAAAGCGAAAAAAAAAATCGCATTTTTGACAAAAATATGAGTTTTGTATTTTTGAAAAAAATTTGAACCCTTTTTTTCGACATAAAAATTCAGTTTTTTGGCTGCCAAAACAAAAATATAAGTCAGAATGAGGAATGTCATACCTCGTTGAGCTCGTTGTTTAATTTCCAATCGATTGGCATTCTAACCTGAAAACTTTTCATTTTTTGCCATTTTTCGAAAAAATGCGATGAAACCCCTACAAAAAATGAGAAAATTGGTCAAAAAATAAATTTTCCTAAAAATGGTGAGGATCGTTAGCATTTTAAGCAAGCTGATCCAAACAGTCGGTCTTTTAGCTGTACGCCTTAATTTGGCTGAGCTACGATGGAAAAAGCGAAACAAAATTTCGCATTTTTGACAAAAATATGAGTTTTGTATTTTTGACAAAAATTTGAACCCTTTTTTTCGACATAAAAATTCAGTTTTTTGGCTGCCAAACCAAAAGTATTTGTCAGAATGAGGAATGTCATACCTCGCTGAGCTCGTTGCTTAATTTCCAATCGATTGGCGTTCTAACCTGAAAATTTTTAATTTTTTGACATTTTTCGAAAAAAAGCGATGCAACCCCTACAAAAAATGAGAAAATTGGTCAAAAAATAAATTTTCCTAAAAATGATGAGGATCGTTAGTATTGTAAGCAAGCTGCTTAAAACAGTCGGTCTTTTAGGTGTACGCCTTAATTTGGCTGAGCTACGATGGAAAAAGCGAAAAAAAATTTCGCATTTTTGACAAAAATATGAGTTTTGTATTTTTGACAAAAATTTGAACCCTTTTTTCCGACATGAAAATGCAGTTTTTTGGCTGCCAAACCAAAAGTATTTGTCAGAATGAGGAATGTCATACCTCGCTGAGCTCGTTGCTTAATTTCCAATCGATTGGCATTCTAACCTGAAAATTGTTAATTTTTTGCCATTTTTCGAAAAAAAGCGATGCAACCCCTACAAAAAATGAGAAAATTGGTC